CAAAAAAAAATGCATATAATGCTTTTTTATAACGAATGTATTTGTTATTTCCTTCATACAAAATTGTAAGTATAAATATTTTAGTTACATAAAAATAATCAAAAAATTTAAATATATGTCATTAATGAATGGTAATGAATGGTAAACAAATAAAACACTTTAATATTTGAAAAATGGCTTTTAAAATAATTTTGACCCATTTCTTTTTGTTGTATTAAAATAAAAATATAGTAGAAATTTTAAAAATAATTTTAATTTGCATCTTAAATAATATGAATTTTCTGCCATTTTTCATTCAATTTATATATTTTAGATCCCTAGATATTATTTTATATTAACTTAATTTTTTTAAAGTTTTCTAAAAAAATTTAGTCGGTGAATCTTTTGAAGTAATTTGAGATTTTTTGTAAGGTTTTTTGTTAGATTATAAACTTTTTGGACATTTTCCTAAATTATTTTCCACTGTTACGTAATTTTGTGACAAATGTCGATGCGTTAAATATTCCTTAATCCCAAAATAAGTTAGTTTACATACTGAACGGGAATTTTTATTTATGTGAGAAAAATTTTTAAATAGTTCAGCATTGCAAAACTGCTTTACACACGGCCAAAAAAATAAATTAAAATCGGGAAAAAAGCAAGATTCGATATCTAAGTGTTTTCAATCAACTAATATAAAATTAAATGAGCAAGAGATGTTTAACCACGATTTGTGTGAAGGACTGTTAAGCACAAATATACCTTTGTCCAAATTATTAAACGAAAATTTGAGTTTCTTGAAAAACACTGCAAATGGCATATTCCAAACGAAAGAAGCTCAAGAAGAAACGAGGTCCATTCTGTAGATTCTGCGGTACTAACTAAAAGATATATAGGAGATAATTACTTTTGTAGGGGAAAGGAGGGTAAGACCGGGAAGCGGGGTGAGATCAGGTACCTTGACTGTGCTGCTACTACTAATGCCAACTGGTGCACAGAACGTGAAATACAATCCGTAAGCTGAGACGACTTAGCGGCAGTAGTATCGAGTCGATGCTGGAGTACGCATGTTGTCAGTTGAGGTAAGTTTGTTTTTCCATGTCGCTTCTCTAATGTTGCTTCCAATTTAAATGATCATTACTTATTGGCATTTATAGTTATGAAAACTTGCTTCAGTGTCATCTATTATATAATAAATATATTTAATATATGCATAAAAACGAAGGAATAATTTAAATATCATAGTGGTTTTAGAGCATTTTCTTAAATTCTATACTTTGGGTAAGACCGGGTAGTCCAAGTGGGGCGAAACCGGGTACTACCCGGTCTTACCCAGAAGTATATGTTGTTCTACAAGTGGACACAACAACAGAAGAAAAACCTGCACAAAGAACGTGTGAAATGGTAGTTGAGATTAACAAACCAATACAAACCAATATTGACGAACCATTTCCAAATGAACCCTGCTGTTCTAAAAGTTTAGACCCACAAATTTTTACGGATGAAAAGCCAGCAGCATCAATAGTTTTTGCTATATCACCCAAACATCTAATGCCACCACCTGTTGCTGAAAGAAAGAAAACAGAAAGAACAGATAAACGAAAAGGGAAATGTGCAATATTAACTTCTTCACCATACAAAACAGAACTCGAATCTCAGAGGAAAAGAAAAAAGAAAATGAAAAAAATAACGTCACAGAAAATAAAATTGGATATTGATGACTCAAAAAAACCAAATAAAAAGACAACATCAAAACCAAACAAATAAAAACACAAGCCCAGAGAAAGAAAAAAGTATCCTCAAAAATTCTTGTAACTTCGACCTCGATCTCGACTGATGATTCATTCTTCTGATGGGGAAGATAACAAATCCGACAATCATTGTTTATACTGCAACGAATCTTTTTCTAACTCAAAACAAGGAGAAGGATGGATCCCAATGTGGAATGTGTCTTGACTGGGCTCACGAAGGCTGCAGTGGAGCGGGCGAAGAAGATACCTTCTTTCAATGTGATAGTTGTATCTAAGATTAATATTTTTTTGTTAAAGTTAAAGTTAAAGTTTTTTGAAGTAAAATGTAGTTTTTATAGTTTTCCATAAAGTTAATATGTGCACCCGATCTTACCCTACTAGTGGGATAAGACCGGGTGATTTGACATTTTGAGAAAAACATATTTTTCTGAAAAAGTATAATGAATCTACGACTTTTCTGAAACATTATATTGTGATACGATAAACAATACGTCAAGTCGTTTAATCAAGCAAGCTCTAGTTGGAGTAGTTTGGCTTCAACATTCCGAAAAGTGTTATCTACCTGATCTTACCCTTCTTTCTCCTATATGTGTGGATGAAACATCCGATTCTTCGGGCCGTTACATCGCGCCTTAGTTAATCGGAGCTCTTAAAAATGAACAAGCTTCTAAATCGTTTAATTTTTTTTTTCTTCCTTTAGCTGTCCCCAGTGAAAAATGTTTGCTCTTTCTTTCAGATGCTGCACCTTACATGGTTAAAGAAGGCCAAAATTTAAAACGTATTTTATCCACGTTTGGTACATACAACTTGTTTAGCCCATGATATTAATATTATAGTAAAAAATATTTGAAATAAATTTCTTCTGGTTAATAATTTAATTTTAAATATGAAAAAAATATTTCTTAAGGCACCAATAAAACACGATTTTACGGAGAACTTTTACCGAAACTTTCTCTTCTGCCACAACCTGTTACAAGAGGAGGAACTTGGTTAGAGGCTGCAATATTTTATGTAGAAAATTTTTCTCAACTATAGCCCACAATAATGGAATTAGTTGACGACTCTTCCCAAGCGCTTTCACAGGCAAAAGAATTATTTAAAAATCACCTTTCACAACAACAACAACAACAACAACTTTCATACATAAAATCAAATTATAATTGTGTGCCAAGTTGTATCTTTCAGCTACAGGATACAAATTTATCTTTAATTAAATCAATTAAATTTATAAAAAAAATTAAATTATCTTGCAAAAATGTTAAGGGTCAAATAGGCGAAGACATTTTTAAAAAACTTAAATCAGTCATTGATAAAAATATTGGTTTCGTATTTCTATCTAAGGTTGCAAATGTTTTAACTGGGGTATTTGATAAAACAATAAATATAGAGGCAGAACTTCTAACTTAATTTTAATACGCTCCGATAACTTCGGTGGATGTAGAACGGAACTTTTCTATTTACAAACATGTATTCAGATAGGAGACATAATTTTTTGTTAGAAAATTTTGACATTATCATATATTATTTCTATAAATAAATAAACATGTATAAATAATTTATTAAAGTAACTGTTTAAAAGTTTTATTTCGGTTTGTTTAATATTTTATCAAATTAATCTATTTGAACGATTTGTAAAATGCATATTTGACACAAATAATATGCATATATATGCGCATATTATCTTACTTTTTGGTCTGCATATTTGCCTGACTCTGCTCATAAAATATACCCATACTGTTCTACAGTAAAGCTGAGATTCTAGATAGGTATGTCTATTAGTAACATAATTAGTATGTAGTTTTATTTTGATAAATATCTATTTATATTTTATAAATGGACTTTAAGACTGCTGAATGTATTATTATTAAATAAATAACTTTCTATGCTTTGTAATTCACCAGAAGTAAACTAATTAGTAAATAAAATATCAACAAAATAATTCACTTACTCATTTGTCACAGACAGAAACGGTGAGTTAGGCTTTTTGACAAATAATTATGCCTTTGAGAAACCGTTGTTTACTGCATAGAAAGGCCTTAAGCATCTGGATGGAATTAATTCTGTTACGAGTTTATTATTTCATTCGAAATAAACAAAAATAACAAGGTTGTTTAATTAACTGAAGAAGAAAATATACCGTTTGTGAATATTTTCTTATAAAAAAAATGGGATAATGACGCTGGTTCGAACAGAACCTGCCAAAATACATAACCATTTATTTTAAACATTTGAAGAGTATAGGGGAAAAAGTGGCCCACTAACAATTTTGGCTTTCCGGTTTATTTACAAAATTAGTCTTTAAACGTGATTACAGGCTTTAAGATACTCGCAATCTTTAAATGAGTAAAATATGTCAAATCTTAATAATTTCTAAGAAGTTCTATTTAGATTTGGTTTAAATAGATTTTATTGTTTTTGAATAATCAAGATTTTTACTAGTTGATGTAAACACGTATTAGACAAAAAAGGGCTCATTATACTCAACTAGGTATATCAACAAGGGCACATATGTCTGGTAAGTGTTTATTGGAAAATAATTAGAATACAAAGAAAAAGCAGCTTATAACTCAAAATATACTGTATCTGTGAGGAATGCTTGAAAAGAAATATGAGGTGTTTTCGCTGCAAAATCTCTTCAGAGACTACAAATCCTGGTATTTCTCGTTCACACAAATTTTATTACATAAAATAATGGTGATTATTATATGTTATCTCCATATGCCTGACCAGGGAGAATTAACTCGTTGTCCTGTAGACCAATTCGCAGGTGGTTTTTTGATTTCTGAATTTTTGCACGTTTCCAACGACCATTGTATGTTGAACGAAATTTGATTACTGGACCTAGTACTTCCAATTCCTTCAAGGGACGTGACGGATTTCTTGATGTATATTTTTTCTAGATGATCATTCCAGTTTCGAAAAAATGAGTGGTCGACTTCGACAACCTCAAAACCGGATGGTTTACAACGTGCTTCTCGAAAAACTTTGACCCATTCATTGGGCAATTCAGCTTTGGCCTTAGTATTAATCAGCCCCATATTTTTGTCACATTCGAGGTATGAATGTCCTCTTATTGGGAAAGTGACTTTTATTTTCTGTAATCTTCTTTCGATATTTACCAAATGGTGTAAAAATCGGAACATCGTAAAATTCTTGTTTTGGTCACTGTAGGAGTCACAAAATATCTATAGCTCTGTCACTGAGGGGTCCAAAAAGTTGTAGATAAAATGATGGAGCACAGAGCAAACATCATTGCTTCCCCTTTTTCCTTCAGTATCGTCGTATACGCAAAATACACTTTTGCGAACTGGATAGAACATGAACATTGAACGAATAAATCAAAAATTGCCTCTTGTAATAGACATCGTTCGTAGAAATGGTGGGCACTGGCAGGTTTTTATCATAATCAATGCATATAGCCTCCATATGTGCAGATTTTTTGCATACATCTTCTGCATCTCTTTTTCTTTTATAGAATGTCTTGGCTTTTCCTTTGTAAATATTGTTTTTTATAGTAATGCTCTCAATTTTTTTTGTTATTTTGTCATCGTCTTTGTCATTGCTTGCTGTTCTTGTTTCTGCTTCTAAACCTTTTAACTTTGCCACAAAACTCATCGCATGTGCTACATGTATCAGTACGTGGGTACCCGAAAGCTATGTTGAAATCATGATTAAAAATAGTTCTATAACTTTCGTAGGACAGTTTAATAGTTGGGTGGAGCTCACAAAACATGTACATCTTCTTTACACATAAATATTGTGGCAAATAAAATTTTGAGGTCCTGTAATGGCTATTTCTTCCCTTAAATGAAATAATGTGTTCACGGACTGCACTTTTTGTATTAATGCTAAGCGAGTTTTCTTGTTTACCATGCAAGCCACGTTTGTCTTCTAGATACTCAACTTTTTTTTCGTGATACCATGAACAGATATAAAAGCTTTACGGCATGCTTTAAATTCTTTCACAGCATCATTAAATATTCCTCTTAATGGATATTTATAAGTGGCTTCACAATGCTTACTTACTTCTTCTTTTGATGATCGCTGAAAGGGCAAGACGGATATTAGTTCACAAAGGTATACATTTTGTGCGTTAGTGGAAGGCAGAAGATTAAATCGTTGAAGAATTTTAATCCCAGTGGCTTGTGGCCCTAAATCAAAATACTTTTTTTCTACACCCGTATTATAATAATGCACTTATATGCCCATAATCCGTTTCATAATGATACCCATTATGATACAGATTTTTCATTACGATACAGATTTTTAATCAATAGAAACCTACTATTTTTCAATCAAGCATGCTGTTTGACGTTTGTCCTAGGTTTCTATGTAATTGTTTTAGTTGTCAAAACGTATTAAATTTTCGTAGATAGCTAAACTTCGATAATTATAATATTAAAATGTCTCATATCAGCGATATAGAAGACTGTTCCACACATATCGGAGAAAGCAGAAAATACAGTACAAAATATTTTGCAGCAAAAATCTAGGGAAATACCAATACCCGAAGTAATACCATTAATTACAATTTTGTAGAATTTTTTATAGAAATACGAGTAATTACTGTTATTGTGTTCAATACCAATATAAATATAATATTTATAGGTCTTGATTATTTATCGGGTGTAGAAAAAATAGCGTATGCAACTCTCATGTAATGGTTATTAAAACACTCGCATAGACCATACGAAACTCGCCTTTGGCTCGTTTCGTATCCCGGTTAATGCTCGTGTATTAATAACCATCATTACATGATCGTTGCATAATATACTATTTTGGCACTGGCAGTATGGTCCCATTTTATGTGACATAGTTTTAATTTTTTTCCTAACATCTCTCATTCTTCAGGTTATTTTCCTTTTTTTCGTTTTCTTTACATCTACACCATCTTCAAACTCATTATCATCACTACTGTTACTCATTTTTAATTTTCACTCCTTTCAAGAATGTGTAATGTAAACAAACAGGTGAATATAACCTCTAAATCAGTATGTCAAACAGTCAAAAATAAGGCAAAAGCCACGCGCAAAATAATTTCTGACGCAATAGGCCTCTTTTTGGGGCTAGCTTCTTTTTGCCGGTTTCAATAACATCGCCAAAAAGATTACGAAGCTAAGTACAACATGGCACAATATCGGTATTTTTCTGAAATTGTTGATAAGCTCCTTTTTCCCCTGTACTCTTCATTTATTGTACAATGAAAAATACTAGTATTTATTATTGGATACTATTAGAGAATTGTTTATCATATTTCACTTTATTTTTGTAGGTATGTTATATATTTTTTCTACGCCCATGTCAGTAAATGTTAAAAATCGCAGTGTCAACATTCCTTGTAAATGACATGTAACAATAACATGCACGTATGAGATCCCATAACATACACGTTTCTTAGTTTAATCAAATTGCAATCAAATTGCAATCAAATTGCAATCAAATTGCAATCAAATTGCAAACAAATTGCAATCAAATTTTTATCTACGTAAGACTTTATTTGGTTTATTTACATAAATTTAGTCAATTTAAAAACATAAAAACTTTTAGCATTAGCGAGATACATTTTAGATTAAAAAAGTGATGCCCCTAAATGTCGGCAACACATTATACCATTTTAAAAAAACTAAGTCGCGTTTTCTTGGCATGCTATGGAAATAAACGTACGTCGTTTCGGTTATATTGTCAATTTTTGTAACAAAATATTATTGTATTCGAACATTTTCTTAACTTTACCGACGAATATATTTGTAAGTAGTGAAAGTGATGAAATTATGAGCACACCACTGGAGATTTTAGAAAAAGCGCAAGATGCCACATATAATTTATTACCGCTAAAATCAAAAAAAAGGTACGAAATTACCTATCGAAAATTTATGGATTGGCGACACAAGCATAACGTTAAATCCTTTTAGGAGAATGTTTTAAGTGGGCGTAGAAAAAGTATAGTACGTTACACGTGTTGTAAACCCCTAACGCACCCGTGAAATTTACGTACTCGCCGCTGCGTGGCATCGTGCGTTAACTTTTTCACTTCGTGCGTAATGGGTTACTTACAACTCTTGTTACGTAATATACTATTTAAAATTTAATATATTCCTTATAGATCGTCGGTGGCCCTGTATAAACATAATCTTATAATAGATTTACTTCATAAACCATTAATTATTATAGAATATAGAGCCGCAATGTTGTCACATGATAATATATAAATTAATTTAAGATTGTCAGTAATAATGATAAATACAAATGTCAAAATTATGACTCCAAATTAATCTTCAAAAATTTTATTATCTAAAAACAAAATATTTGAAATTTAACAGTTTCAAAAAGTTTACTTCGGCAGGCATATACAATTGTTACAAAAGCAAAACTTGATCCCTACCAATTTTTCGCAATGCCAATATTTTTTGCAAAATCAGACTTCGAAAAATCCATAATTTTCATATTGAATAGATATGGCAGTTTCTTGCCGAATTTCCGCTCGATGGGGTTGGAAATGCATTGATCTTCATCTTTTGGACTTTAGAGACCAATTGCAGATGGCGCCAGCACCTTTGCTCTTCTCGCTAAATTACGGAGTCCGTAAATGAAAATCTCGGAAATAATCGATTATTCGACAATTACTGGCGGATTTCACCTGATTTTTTCTGCTAAGTAGCGCTTGGACTCTCTCAATTGTATTAGCGAATGTTCTATGCAATTGGAGTTCAAATTTACCCGAAAATTGCAAAAAATTATTTTTCCTTGTGCCAAGGTCTTGAATCCCGTTGTTTTGGCTAAAAGCAAATGACAACTTTTCGAGCCTGGTGAATATTCACCATGCAACCATTCTAAACATTTTTCGCATTTTTGCGATTTTTTCCAAACTTTTTTCGGAATAATATGGGTGCAGGATTTCGGAAAAAATACGCAAGTCTTTGAAAAATTACATTTATTTGGAAGAATTTGTTGGATATAAAATATACATAACCTTTAGGGTGTGGTCAACCATTCCAAATCATCAGAATCATATACATATTCTTCATCGTCAACGGTATTCTTGTCGCCTACTCCCTCTTGCTCCATTTCTACCCTTCCCCCTGCCGTCCTTTCTCTCTATTCCTCCAGCTGTATTTCTGCCTCCTCGCTTTGCAACCCTTCTGTCTGTTCTTCCACCCCTATTTCTACTTCCATCTCTAATTCTTGCGGGAATATAACTTCATTTATTTTATAATCTATCAAAAAATAGATGATTCAACCGTTAGAACAATTACATCAAGTTTTTAAAGTTGAGGCAAAATAAACCAAACCTTATTTTCTGCTTCCAATAAAAAAATTCTTGAATATTCTTTCTTGTAGACAAGAATAACGTGGAAATTTCTCACTTTAAACACTTCTCCTTTTTTTTATAACTGAATTAATTTAATGAAAAATATTTATTTTATTTTAAATAAATAATTCAAAATAAATAATGAAAAAATATCATCAGTACATCAATAATCCGGTCAAGCCGATAACTCCAAAACAGAGATTGTATACAAACACATGCAGACAACTATCGCCGCGTGGGTACACGAGGTTAGGTTATATACAATATCATGGATCTCAGAGGGGGAGCGTAAAAATGAAGTATATAATTGTAACAATCTTTTTAGAACCAAGAACGGATATGGGGATTGACTTATATCAATGGAAAGTTCAGAACACAAGCTTTACTTTGATCTAGTTATTAATTCTCAAAAAATAAAGAGCGGGAAACAAGAAATGGTTATACAAAAAAAGGCTGGTTTTCACTCGTGTGATCAATTTTCTTCATTTCTTAAAAATTATTAGACTCTATTAAAAATAAAAAAAAATATTCGAAAAGTAGACCATCTAAGCTTTAAAATTGGAAATCAATATAACGGATCATAAGATTATAATTCGCGCTTGTTCCGAAGACTCTATGTAACTCCGAAATCGGCTAAAACATGTAAATAAACAAATCAATTTTGTATTAAAACGCAAGAAAAGTATTACAAAAAAATTTCTGAGATCATTCAAGACCCCCCAAGGTCCCATTATAAAGGCAAAATTAGAATAGATGACTATTTTTAAAGAAAATATGAATAAATTAATGAAGCAGTCTCTAAATATTGTTGAAAAAAACTGAGCGCGTTTTTAAATATTTTTGGCAAATACGAACTGACTTCCAGTCACATGGAATTGTAGCTACGGGTTTTCCCATTGCGATGAACTTTTTTAGCAAACATTTTCGATATTATTAGCTATAACTTGACTTGGTAAAAGTAAAATCTACTTATTGAGGTAATTATTACGTAAAATTGACTAGTAAAATATACCTGTACTTTAAATTGACCAAATGGTTTAGGTATAAATTTACGTAAATTATACCAAGAAATCTACCTCGTACACATATCTGCTTAAAAGTAACTTTAACCAAATCAGAAAGGGAAAAACTACTAACAAAAATAACCAAAAATTACCTCATAGGTAAATTTCCTTTAAAGTAAAATTAGGTATCATAATTAGGTAACATCAACCTGTTTGGCAACTAAAAATCGTCTTTATAGTAGATTATCCTACTAGGTAGATTTGGTTGAACATTTTTCGTAACTTTATACCTGTAAAGTAAC